CCCCGGGGGGGGGGGGGGGTCAAACAGCCTGCCCTTGAGATCCTGTTAGAACCCTCGGCAGAGTGCAGGGAATCATATGAAAGAAGGGAAGTTAGTATGATGTGGAAAGGATAGGAGCTCTACAAGGACCAAACATATCTGGGCACAGGGTCTTTTCTGAGACTGACACTCAACCAAGGACCATCTATGGATATAACCTAGAACTTCTGCTCGGATGTGGCCCATGGTAGCTCAGTAACCAAGTAGTTTTCCAAAGTAAGGGGAACACGGACTAAAAATATCTCTTTTAAAGCTGCAGAGAAAGATCAGCCAGAAAAGTATTTGTGCCTGAAACACAAGGACTCAAGTTTGATCCCAAGATACCCTAAAAAGCTGGCCATGGTGGCAAACACTTTTCAGCCCGGCCTGAGATGGCTGGGGACAGGTGTATCCCTGGATGTTGCTGGCCAGCTAGCTTAGCTTAATCAGTAAGCTCCAGGCCAGTCAAAGACCTTGTCTACGGGGTTCCTTAGGGTGACTCCTAAGGCTGTCTTCTCATTTCTGTGTGTGCGCTCACAGGTGCTTGTGTTCCCTTCCCTTATACAGATACACATATAAACAGCCAAAAGTTTCCTTCTATTACAGCCACAAAAAAAAAAAAAAAGTTCCTGAAACACTTAGGATAGGACTGAGAAGCTGACTGATAAAAGCCCATTCCCTCCATACTGAGTTGAGACCAATAGCTATAAGGTCTTCTGTATCAGTTAGGGTTCCCAACTTGCTTTTTTAGCCATGGCGTTTTGTCACAGCAATAAAAACACTGGCTAAGAAAGCTTCGTTCAATAGGGTTGTAGCAGCTGTGAGCAGATCTGTGCAGTCAGAGGAGATTTCTAATATTTAGTAGATTCCTCTAATAGAGGTGAGTTAATCACTGTGAATGATAATATTTTTTATGTTCACAGTTAGAAAACTTAAACCACGGTCCTCCTTACTTGGAGAATATAAATGTGAGCTGGCACTGAGCTGTCTCTCTCTAATTGGTAAGATGTTTGAATGCAGAGATTTTTAGGCCTTGGGTCACAAAAGCAGTTTTTGCTGATACAGGCCCTGGTGGGGCTCTGTTTTAAAGAACACTAAGGAGCTGCTTCTATTATTAAACACATGGCAGTCCATTAACACACACTTAAGACTAAGAGAGAGGCTGGTAAGTGCTGCCAAGTCACCAGCTCTACGGGAGAAACAAGTATTGCATCATTTCAGACATGTCTCTCAATTATTGCACCAAGTGGAGGGAAATTAAATGAATAGAATTGGTGAAGCTTATATCAGAATGCTAGCCTATAATTCTTTCCCCAAGAGGATTTTCCTACACATTGGAAAATTTGAATCTCTTAATGTGTCTTTCAAATGGACTAGGAATTTCTCATATTTTTCTACCTGGAAAGGGTGAGAGAGCTAAATAAAAAAATCCAAAACAAGCACTGTAGATTTTTCTTGCTTTAAATTTCCAAACAAACTTACTTCGTAAATAATTGAGATCTCACTGGCTTCATGAGAGGAAAAGAAAATAATACAAGAATACATGGCAATTGTCTCAGTAATGTGTGTGTGTGTGTGTGTGTGTGTGTGTGTGTGTGTGTGTGTGTGT